GATTACGTATGCAGTGGTTGAGTATGAGTGCAAGGACTCATGGGTTTGGTTTCTGGAATTGTTAGTAAATGATGTAAAGATTGTTAACCAGTTTGGATACACTTTATATCAGATAAGCAAAAACCAAAAAAGGTTATTACCTGCTTTTGAGCAAGTTGTTCCTAATAGTGAACACAAGTTTTGTGCAAGACATCTTTTCACCAACTTCAAATTACAATTCAAAGAGAAAGCTTTGTCTGACAAATTTTGGGGCGCTTCAAAAGCAACAAATGTTCCACACTTTGCAAGACGTATGGAAAAGCTGAAAAACCTTGATAATGATGCTTATGATTAGCTGACTCAACTAGAAAAACCTCCCAGGCATTGGTCTCGATCACACTTTAGCACCCATGTGAATTGTGATATTCTTTTAAACAATCTGTGTGAGCCAATACTGACCATGCTTGGGTATAAGTTGATAAGGTACTACAAGGCAGAAGGGACAAAATAAAGAAATGGACAAAGGTAATTTGCCCCAAGATTTTTAAGAAGGTAGGGATAAATAAGGCATAAGCAGGTGGTTGTGTCACTATTTGGTCAAGTGGAGGCAAATTTCAAGTTGGCACTAGTAGGATTTCACAGTATATTGTGGACTTGGATTTGAGGACTTGTTCTTGTAAAGAATGTGATTTGATTGGTTGGCCTTATGTTCATGGAGTGGCAGCTACAAATTACAATGAGGGCCTAAACATAATGGATTTTGTGGATGCATGTTATCATACTAGACATATTTCAAGGCATATGAAAGCCTCATACTACCTATGAATGGTATGGAGTTGTGGGATAAAAGTAATATGCCACCATATGTGCCTCCTTTATACTCCAAACAACCTGGAAGGCCAATGTTGTTTCACAAGTTCAAGACTCACTGAAGTGTGGCCAATGTGGAAGAAAGGGCCACAATAAAAGGACTTGTTATAGGAATCTGCCCCCCAAAACAAAAATAAAAAGAGGAAGGCTAAGGTAAACATCTAAGGATAAACCTTTGTTAGTTTTATTAATTTTAATATTTTTTTTATATTTTGCAACTAACAGTTTATTATTTTTGCCTCAACCCAGCAAACTACTCAAACAAGTGAAGCTAGTCCCAGTACAAGAATAAGGCGAGCTAAGCTTGCAAGAGTTGTGTAGAAAGGAAAATGGAAGATAAAGGGCACCCCTGCAGCTGGAAGTTCAAATGTACCACCAAGTGATTTAGGGGTGGCATTTTATACCGAAAAACCGAAAAACCGCAAAAACCAATTGATAATTTACCGCAATGAAACTGCAATCGCGGTAAACCGAACCGCATTTGCGGTATTTAGAACCGAATTTGACTTTCAAAACTTGCGGTTATCGCAAACCACGAATATATTTTAAATAATATTGTCTATATTATATTATATGTAAAATATATTTCATACAACATATTTCATACAATATTTTCTATTCACACCCATTAATCGTAGCCGTTAGATGCGATCAGACCTAAGCCTCTCTTATCTCCTTATGCGATCTCACTCTCTCAACTCTCTGATTCTCAAACAACACAACGGGGTTCTTCAAATCCACTCACCACCACTAACACTTGAGTTTGTAACTTTAGTTTGTAACATTGGTGCATTGCATTTTCCTTTTAGTTTGTAACTTTAATTAACTTTGAATTGGATTTTCTTTTGGGTTGTAACTTTAATTCATTTTGCATTGCATTTTCCTTTTGGTTTGTAACTTTAAAGAATTTGGAATTGGAATGCTTGAGAAGTTTAACTTTAATTGGAATGCTTGGAATTGAACTTTAATTTTCTTTAGGTTGTGAATGCTTGAGAAGTTGAGGAGATTGTGAATTTATATATGCTTGAGAAGTTGGATTTTTATGACACAAAAAGAACTTGCGGTTTTACACCGCTAATTCACGGTAACCGACCGCTTTTTGCGGTTTCAAAAATTACCATACCGCAAATAGTCGGTCGGTTTGATATCTGCCTCTCATGCATCAACATCTGCCCCTCTTGCATCAACTAAAGCTTCAACTGACAATTCTTATATATTGAGTAAACGACCTATGGTTGTGAGAGCATCAGACTCGAGCAAGGAATAATGATGGTCTTGCCATTAATCCTTTTGAAATGTGCACTTATCTTTGTTGTTATTTTGAAATCATATACTTCTATTAGCTGGTTGGGTTATGTTATTTTGTTATCACAAGACAGATTTACCTGGTTATGTTATTTTGGAAGACAAGTTGCCTTCGTTGGGGAAGATAGCTTGTGTTATTTTGTAAGAAATGTCCTGTTTTTTTGGAAAACAGGTTCTGTTATTTTGGAAGGTTGTAAATGTTATTTTGTGGCCTATTTTGTTGTTATGCTGCAAGTGAAAATGAATTTTATGTATAAACAAGTTGTTGGAATGAAGAGGTTGATTTTGTACATATCAAAAGTCTGATTACATTACATCATTGCATTACCAAAACATCACATTGTATGCAGATTACATAGCCAACATGCTCATTCCCATTACATAGCCAACATGCTCATTCCCATTGCATAACCAAAAGCACATGACTTTCCATACCAAAAGCACAGTGCATCCCTAAAACACCCCATTTCATGCCAATTCCAAAGTCTTCAGCTTCAGTCCATCTAATCCATCATTCCCTCCAAAGAAGAACCTTGCAATAAGCATCCACGACACCACCAATACTGCCCAAAGAACCTTCTCTCTTCGTCTTTCCTTTGCTAGTGAATTCTCCAACTTATCCCGCAATTTTAGCATGCCTGGAATCACAACTTTAGACCTTTCACACATTTCCACATCATACCAAACCCAGAAATCACAACCTCCTCTACCCTGCACTAAACCCACTATGTAAATTCATATTTGCACCTGCTACAATTCAAAATCTAAGATATTGCATCAAATCCAGTTGTTTACCTTTGCACACACAACGAATCGCCTCCCAAGATTCGAAATTGTCCACGAGGTTCGGATTCTCAAATTCTTACCACACTCACCATCGCCTTATGCTCCATTTCTCCTTCGTTTTCTGGGTTAACGAGCCAATACAGTCGAATAAACCTTTTGGCAGGCTCACTTCTTTGAAAATCGTAGCTCTCAGCTATAGACTTTTAGGATTTAGGTTAAAACTGAGGTTGAGGACGACTTTTGGGGATTTTTGTTAAATTGGGTGCGATTTCATTTTTTATTTATTTATTGTCAAAACCCAAAAATACCCTTCAACTGCCATACATGGAATGGTCAATCTGCTAGTGGGATAGGTCCCATGAGTGCCATGTCAGCATTTAACGATTGACCATGTGGTTAACTTAAAAGAAGGATTAAATTGGACGATGTTGAAAACGTAAGGGTGTAAATTGATAAAATTGATACCTTGGGGACCAAATCGAGAACGACCCCAAACCTATAGGGTGTCTTTTTGTCGTTTACCCAATACTTAACTTCCAATTTCAGAAACTTCAATTCAGAATTCAGATTCCACATGTTACTGCTAGAAGTGGCCAACAGTTTCCTTAAGGACAGGTGGAAAGGAAAAGGGAAAACGGGAAAAAATTAATGAGCAATTGTCCTATTGTTTGTTTGATCAAATTATTGTAAATCGAGAAGCAAAAAAGACGTTAACGAAGAGGAATTGAAAATATAAATCGAGGGTTATACGAACACTTTGAATGGGAGCTTTGGATCGGAGGTTAGAGTGACTTTGAAGGACACCTTTCCACCACCCGCCATTTTTTATTTTATAATTTTATTTTTCTCGTTGTTTGCATGTTAAGGAGCGGTCTTGTATATATACGTATGGACAACCCACTTCGTTCTCATTCGTATTTTTAACGATGAGGCATTGTTTTGTGATTTTATGTTTTTTTTATAAAAAAATTTATCCTTTGGGAATGATTTTATTTTTTGATGTGAAGATATTGGAAGAGGGGATTTTCTCACATATACACTGTCATGTGTCATGAGGGTTTGAACTTGATATCACTAGTCTACAAGTTAAGGGTTTTTTTCACTAGGCTAGACCTCGTTGACTATCCGCTTAGAAATGATGTAAAAGCTTCAACTAACAAAAAATTATTGCGTGTATTATTTCAATTTTGAGAATTATTATGTTGGGTTGATAAAACCGTTCAAACTAATTCAATTGATTTTGTTCGAATTTTATACACACAAAAAAATATTGTGATTTTAGACCGGACGGATCAAACTACAATTATTTTGATTCAATTTGATTTGAACTATTTGGAAACCCCAAACCAAACTAAATTGCATATATTGATTTTATTGTTTGTTTTTATAATTGGCTTTTTCTTATTGGTTATCATCATTTACTATTATGTTTCATCTCATAAATTAATATTAAATAGTTAATTCTAAAACCTAAAACCCCTAAATCGTTCAATTTTCAATATGAAGTTCCCTTTTACCAATTGATTTGGTTATTTTCCTTCATAAGCAATTAAACAAATACGAGGCCTCAATCGGAACCATGATGCTAATTTGAGGCCTAAACCAAATCAATATGAACCGTGATATTACATTGGTTTGGTTTAAGTTTTGAGATTTAACGCAAACCAGAATGCTTTTGTACTTGATTAAACAGTGAGTGGCCTTATAAGTAAGGAGCAACAAGCATATTAATATAGCCCAAGCAACGGTGATGTACTTTTTGCATTACAAAGGGCCATACCAGCTTTGCTATACAATATTTTACACATAGTGCTGATTTAAATTAAGTCAGATGGCATACATGGATTGGGTTAAGACGGTTCATTAGACCCAACTTTGATGAAAACCAAATTCAAGAAGGGAGAGAGGAGAAAAAGAAAGTTTGTGTAAAGCAAGCCAACTGCACTCATTATTTAAATTAAGTCAGATGGCATACATGGATTGGGTTAAGACGGTTCATTAGACCCAACTTGATGAAAACCAATTTCAAGAAGGGAGAGAGGAGAAAAAGAAAGTTTGTGTAAAGCAAGCCAACCGCATTCATTATTTTCCCTCTTCTAAAGGAAAGAATAAAATGAATAACTTCATATGTACAACCAGTATGGACAATTTTTACATTCTTTTCAGGTGCTGCTCTGTAAGTTCAAAGGGGATGTAAAACAAACACACCTCTAAGCTTCATGGGAAAAAAAAAACCCCTTTTTTCAAAAAATAATCCATAAATTAATCATCACCATCAGTGCAAGCATCACAGTCCATCTCATTGAATTTAAACCTTTTGATCCATTAGTACTACAGACAAGCTTGTGGTTATGATATGTGCACACTGGTTGCTTCCTGCATATGCATAAACAAAAACAAATGTCATTGACTGCACAGCAAGCAAAAAGGTCAAATACAGATTGCTCAGACGTTGATCAATTGTCATCTGCAATACATGCACAATGCACAGAAGGGGTAAAATTTGAGTGCTTTGAGGGCTTTAAATTAGGCAGGAGCTAGATTCAAACTGCATTCATTGCTTAAGTGTATTCTTATTCGAATGTATTGTGCAGATATCTAGCAAGAGAACATTACCCTAAGAGAGATTCAAAACAGCTTTAGTGTCTAAAATGAGTTCATGAACAAACCTGCTTGAGCAGAATGCAACCACATAATCTGTGCCAGAGCAAGTAAAGATACTGGTTGGATCATCATAAGCATAACTATAGGCAGTCGGGCATGCTTCTTTGAACATCTTGGAATAATATGTGGGTTTGCATGTAACAGGGTTGCCAAAAACCCCTCTGCAACAATACTCATCAGTGTTGAACACATCACAGGCGCTCCTGCATCCAACAGTCTTCCCATTTGCTTTGACAGAGAGCACAGATGGGCAACTGGACCTCAGGTCCCCATCGCAACCCGAAACACTGCAATTTCCCGTACCATTCAGAGGTGTCACAACCATTGGCAAGTTGAACCCATCAACAAGGCTAACATCATAAAAGTCTAGAGATGCCAATGTGAATTCGGCAAGTGTTGCTGGCGTCTTTCCTGAAGCTCCACACTTGAGGGTGCCGCCACAGTCTCCGGTCTGGCATGAAGTGTTGCCATTTTTGTTGTCGAAGTTGCAGCCCGTTCGACCCCATATCCTGCCTGACCAGCTGACTGGGGCAGTGAATATGATTGACTGGCCCGGTTTTAGCATAAAACCACCACCATTAAAGCTCTCCCCTGGGGTCACTGCAGGCCAGACTGTCTCCTTGCAATTGTTTATTATGGTGAAAGTTCTAGCAGACTCAGATAACTTTGGTCCTGCAAAAACCAAGAAGTCAATTGCTTATAAACTTGATAACAAATGATGGCGCACAAATGAGCTAAAGGGGTTAATAGTTTTGGCCATTAAGAGTTTACTCTAAGGTTAATAGTTTATCTACATGTAAAAAGTACATATGTTTCTCATCAATATCATTATCCATACGCAATTCTAAGAGAAAGATTAAACCACAAAGATTGCTATTATAAAGAATACCTGATGAAATGGCCATAAAAACCAATAAAACTGGTAAGAACACATTGAGATGCGCTGCCATTTTTCTTACTCTCTCTCCCTTTCTTTCTTTGTCTATCTCACTTTAAGGGGACTGGTTTAGATGAACCATGAATGAATTGCGCTTGTACAGTTTACAACATCCACATATAAAACAAGAGGGTGAAGAAGAATACGTGTGGAGAAAGGACTAGTAAAACCAAAGCAGTAGCACCAATTCAAGGGAAGCATTTTTGGCAATGCTAGCTAATCTGATTCCTTTCCTAATCCTTTCCTGCAAGTTTATCAAGGTTCCCTATACTTGTTTCCACTTTTCTTTTCCCATAAAATTTTTGGACCCGCATCAAAGTTTAAATTAATCTGAAAAATCCCCATTTTCAGAAACTATTGATACCTATTTCTCTTTTGGTACAAAAAAGCTGTCAACTCCTTTAGTTTTTTTTTTTGGGGGTGAAATCAACTCCTTTACTTTACTTTCAAAAGAAAGACACCATTTTTAAAAGATTTAACTTCCAAGTTCAGAAACCTTAATTCAGAATTCAGATTCCACACGTTACTACTGGAACTGGCCAACAGTTTCTCTAAGGACAGGTGGGAAGGAAAAGGGAAAACAGGAAAAAATTAATGAGCAATTCTCCTACTGTTCGCTTGATCAGAAAACTGAAGGGAAAATTTGACATTAATAAAGGTTTAAGCTACCATAGGCATGATGTAGTAAAGTTTTGTCTTTTATCTTTTTTCCTTCTTTTTTAAAAAATCTATGCCAATTCTTCAACCTCTCCAAATTGGAAATCTGAAATTGAAATGTCTTTTCATGTTTTTCTTTCTTGGTGAATGATTATTTTCCTGCATTTTCCCGAATCCAAACAAGCAGACAGCAAGAAAAAAAACACTAAAAACAGAAAATGAGAGAAACCCAAGAAGCAAGACCTCAGCTGGAGTTGAATATCAGCTTGAATCGGCGGAGGAGAATGGCGCCGTCGAGGACTGAGATAGGCTTGGAGCCGCCGGACGGCGGCAAGAGTTTAAATGAGGGAGACGACAGATGTTTAATTGGGCCATGGTGATTTTAAATGGGCCAAGCTCATGTTTATTTGGCCCGTTCCGGTTAAATTTGGGTCATGTTCATTTCAAATGGGCTACGTTGGTACTGTTTCCCTAGGCCTAAATAATTGGAGAAACCATCAATATTGGGTTTGGGTTTGGGTTTGAGCCCAATACACTTTCTTTTTTTTCCTTTTTCGCATTTTTTATAGCGATTTAGCTCAATCACGGTAGAAGGCCAAATCATATAATTTTTTTTTTACAAGCGATAATCTACTTTAAACTAATCTAAACTAGGGGAAGGGGGATTCGAATTCGAGTGCATAGTGGAAAGCACATCCACTCTAGCCAACCTCGCTAAGCCTATATCTGCAACCGAATCATTTCTTTAGTGTTTCATTTTTCGGAACTTGCATTTAGACACTTTCTACATCTAACAAGCACCCAAAATGAAAAAAACAATTTTATACTTGAAAGTTGAAACAAACTCATCAAACATTTCTTGCTTCTTATAGTATCGCGAAGACAAAATCATCAACATAAAACCAATATTGCACCCACGTTCTAATTCCTATATCTCTAACCTCCTAACAACATTCAACATTTCATTAAAATAACAAACTAACAATCTAATGATATATTAGATTGATATCAATGATATGTATGAAGAAACATAATAGTAAATGGTGAAGAAACACATATTTAATTACAGTGTGATTTCATTTAGTATAAGATTACACTGTTTATAAGTAAAAATCAAATCAAACTTTTAAGATTGCTTTAATTTTTGTCGGTTTGAACAATGCGATCGGTTTCTTTTTTCCCACCCTTACATTTAAAGGAACATGTATTTTCCCAACGTCCAAACAAATCCAAGACTATGCAAAATGTTCTTTAGGAAAATGAGATAACGATATATGTCTAAGCATATGAACCAAGTCAAAAGGTGGCTTATTTAGTTGCTTTTTTTTTATCCTTTTGGAAGCTCCTTGGCCCCAACTTTTAGTCACCCCATAGTGTCTATTATTCTTAAAGTTTTGCATATGCAGGGTGGGGTTAGACTTTAGGCCTAGACCTACTCGGGCCACTCCCTTTAAACAGGTAGTAGTTAGGTAATCACTCACCAATATCATAATCTAGTTCATATGATGAAAATGACCATCCAAGTTTACCCAAAAAAAACATGATTTTTGTGTCTTAAAATAAATTCTTAAATAGAAAGATTTTTAAGACCATTCATCTGAATTATTACATGACTGACAGAGAAATCAAGCAAAGTTTTGAATCTTTATTCTATTTGGATTGTTATATGCTCATTGATTTCGTTTAGTGGTTCGGTTTGGACTGAATTGAAATTGAGTCCAAAACTAGTTATAATGAGTCTCATTCTTCTAAATCTAGATGAGACCTGTCCGATGCTATATTTGACTATTGCCAAATTTAACAAGTATAATCCTAATATTTATAAATTCACCAAACATGAACAAGGAGATTAGTTAATTTGATTAAAATAGTTAACTTCATGCGGTAGAAAGCTCCCCAGAATCGTATTAGATGAAGCTAATCCCAGATAACGTTGGGCCAAATGGGCAAATGTTGGTTGCCAGTGCCACAAGCTAATCGGCATCCTTGCCACCCTGGTCCATTATAGTCAAACTTTGGAATTAACTTAACTTTGTATTTATTCATTAATGATGTAAATGACCAAATAAACTTTTCCTCACACCTTCAGACATAGTTGTTGGCGTATTAAAAGGAAAAGAAAATTTTGGTGGGATCAAAATTATGAAGCTGGATAGATTGCATAAACTTTTTAGTGTTCATGTATACAGAAAAGATGCTCCAACTAACCTAATTTAAAATTTTATCATTACGTCAATGAGGTCTAACTCAGTGGAAAAGAAGCTTGACTTGTGCATATCAGTGATTTCAAGTAGGTCCAAACCCCATGACATCTTGGTTGTGTGTGTGAGAAACCCTCCTTTCATTGTAACTTAGACTATGGTTTATACTGAAAAAAAAATTACCACCACCAAAATTGGGATTTGCGAAGACACTTGATTAATCCCATTATCTAGAAGCTGAATCAATGGCCCAAAGAACCCTTTAGGGACCTAAACTTTTATTAAAAAGGGGTAAAGGGCATTTTTAGATCTCTTTTTGTAAAGCCAGTTGGCACACGTGTGGTGCTAATCATGTTTAGCACCAAAGCCCACCTCAAAGTAATCATTCACTCCATCTTATGGGCTCCCCCACACATACACTCACACTCAAATCCACACAAAAACAGCTCTTCTTCTAATCCTTCAACTTTCATCCACCTTCCACACCCTTTTGTATAAACACAGATCTTCTTCTTTACCTCACTTTTCTCTACACAGATTCAACATCATCCATCCATCCATCCATATGCATCATGCATGGGCCACCCCGCTCGTGCAATGCATGCTAAGCATGGCCCATCAACAGCTTTTCCATGTCCAAATAACAAATATAAAATCAAAATTTAGGAGGAAAAAGTAAATCCCATGTGGTACCAACGAATCTTAACCTCAACACAATGAGATAAATTTCGAACAAAAAAACACAATGAGATAAAGATCTAATAAAACTGAAATTATGTGTGTAGCTAACTTAAGAATATGCGGTCGAAGGTAGTTTATACCGGTCGATACGCATTTTAGAGACTTACTATGTCGTGTAACATGTGTTTGTTAAATTTTTATCCCATAACGTAGTTTATACGGGTCGATACGCATTTTAGAGACTTACTATGTCGTGTAACATGTGTTTGTTAAATTTTTATCCCATAACTTGAAAATAGAATATAGGGAATTTGAAATACTATTGGTTTGGAGTATTTACTCCCTCAGGCAAGGTCCTGGGTTCGAGTCCTAGCATCCGTGTAGCGTGTATGAGTTTAATATGCTATCGCCCCTCTCAATAGGAAAGGTCCTCAAAAAAAAAAAAAAAAAAGAATATAGGGAATTTGAAATACCATTGGTTAAATAATATGCATGCATATATTATATATGCAATGACATTCCTAAGGGCTAATTAGGGTGATGATGTAGCTAGGTCTCCACTTGGGTGACTCAATTATTGCTCATAAAAATTAAAGAGTTCTACCAAAAAGCAAAGTGGTGCTATAAGATATACATACATATTGGTTAAGCTTAAGGAGTGGAAATAGTAGTGAAAAAGGAGCACTCCCTCTATCTATTTATAGACTACTCAGACACTCATCCATTGCTTCCTCCCACACCACCACCACCAAGGCTATAACAATGGCTTCTGAGAAGGTTGAGACTGTTATAGCCGGAAGCTACGTGGAAATGGAAAGAGAAGGGGAAGAGATTGACTCAAAGACAACTAAGAGCAAGCTCTCCACCTTTCTTTGGCATGGCGGCTCAGCCTATGATGCATGGTTTAGCTGTGCTTCTAATCAGGCACATATTTAATCATATTTACCAAACTTCTTAGTTTTACATATCTTATCATTTGTGTTAATGTAACTGTGTATTTGATGTGTTTGGCTAATTATAATTATATATCTTAATTTGGTTTTAATGGAATTTTAATGCAGGTTGCCCAAGTGCTTCTCACACTGCCATACTCATTTTCCCAGCTGGGTTTGCTGTCTGGGATTCTATTTCAGCTTTTCTATGGCTTGATGGGAAGCTGGACTGCTTACCTCATCAGTCTGCTATATGTTGAGTACAGAACTAGAAAGGAGAGAGAAAAGGTTGATTTTAGGAACCACGTAATTCAGGTATAATCCATGCTTAATTTCTCCATTAATTTGTAAAACTAATGCTGATATATTAATTATGATTCCAGTTTCTTTATAAACATTGACTGTTATAAATCTTGGCAGTGGTTTGAAGTTCTTGATGGGCTGCTGGGGAAGCACTGGAGGAATGTTGGCCTCTTTTTCAACTGCACTTTTCTTCTGTTCGGATCTGTAATTCAGTTAATTGCCTGTGCAAGGTAAATAAATAATTCTTATTATTTATAATTTTATATGTAGAAAAGAATTAGATAGTAAAATTTGGTTTGTCTTTGTGTGTTTGTTTTGATCTTAGTAATATCTAC